GTTGACAGCTTTACCCTAATTTTTGACATTTTTACCTATTATGTCTGTTTGTTTTGCAGCAGCTCACACATTAATGTCAGTATAATGGAATTCTATATGACTTGTCATACAAGTGAGAGGTTTAGCTAACTATAAAACTTGAGGTTTAATTCACCATTTTCTACATAAGGAAATGCATGTACCAAGTCAGGAAGGTAAACGGACAGAAAGTCACAGGACAAAAAGTCACAAGACATAAAGTCACAAATTTGATAGGACAAAAAGTCACAAATAATTTGTTGACAATTGTTTGAATATATCAGAGAAAGATCTTGAAGTATTTTCTTTTTATTACATATATTCATTTTTAAGTTTAGGAAATTGTTCATAAGCCTTGATAAATGAAAATTTATTAAATTTTAATCATGCAAATGATATATTTCTTGGCACAATCAGCCATTTAAGTACCAAGCCACTTTGACATTTTGTTTTCATAACAATTATTTGATCATTATTGATATTTTTTGAATAAATTTTAATTACAAAGTTGCTTCATATATAATAGTTCAAGAAAAAACAAAAATTTTATTTTTTAAATAAGTGTTTTCTTGTTTAAAGAAAAATAATCTCAAAACTGATTTGTGACTTTTTGTCCTGTGACTTTTTGTCCGTGACTTTTTGTCCTGTGACTTTCTGTCCTACATTCAGTCAGGAATATGACAGTTGTTTTCCATTCGTTTGAAGTGTTTGAGCTTTTGATTTTGCCATTTGATAAAGAATTTTCCGATTTGAATTTTCCTTGGAGTTTGGTATTTTTGTTATTTTACTTTTTTTTATAGATAAAAAGCCAGTGACTGCTGTGGGTGGAAAATTTGAAATAGATACATGTAGTAAAAAGCAAAAACAAGTTATTTCTATTATATCTGTGTTCATATAATACAGAAAAACACGAAAATAATTGGAAATTATAGAAAACAAAAAAATAACGGATTTCAGAAAAAAGAGGGAGGGCTTATAAAAATTTTGTCCTGTCCCAAAGTACCTATGCTCAAAATGAAATTATTCTAGTAATTTCTGTAGTTCTTCATTAAATGAAAGAACTTTGAAGATATGCTTAGTAAAATTTTATAATCAAAATACTCATACCTGACAGACTAAAGTATTGTAAACATATATTGTGACATCAAATTTAATGTACACCAAGGTGAAGCTTTATTTGATATTAATTGACAACCCTGCAGACCGAGATATCTACTTCAGGAGTCTCTGCCAAGAGTGATCATAATGGCATTGGTTCACTAGATGGAGTTATAATTGTTATATTTAATTTGAACCTTTGCATCCAAAAGGAGAATGCTATGCCAACTGCGCTCATCTACAGAGTATATATATGGACTACTTAATATTCCATACATAAGACAAATCAACGAAAAAGAAACCAAGATTACCAACTGACTTCTGCTACCAACCTAGTTGAACCGACATGTATTTACAAATGAGAGATGCTAACAACAACATACAGAACAGGTGCTCATTTTTTCAATTCAAACTACATTATTTTACAACCATGCCGACAAACAGATTATCTATGCCAGAAGATCAACGAAATAATTTTACATGTGAACAATTTCTGAAATTCCATTTCTTATTAGTAGCATCCAAAGTTTCCCCAATGTAACCGACACGCCAGGAAGCAAAACTCTCTAACATATTCTATTTTTCATTTGTTCTATTTATTGTTTTTCATTATTTCTCTCACCCAGGGCACCGACACACATTCATTGTGATGTCAAATTAAATGTACCGAGCTTTGCAATTCAGTGCTTAACTTCTGTATGTAAATTGTCCTGATGACACCTGCCTGGTAGGCAAAACATGTCAACCAGCATTTTGATCATATTGCAGTCTCATGAAGTGTTGTTGTCAAATTGGTACTTTATGTTAATTTTGTATTGTATAATATAATGAAAAGTTGTAAATCTAAATCTGAAGGTCAAAAGAATTCTATGAAGGTCATGGTTTCTGGTCCCCTTTTTTAATCTGTTGTGCAGTATTTATACTTACTTCCTCTGTTTATCGTTGTAATAGTGACTTTAGTTTTAGTATTATCTTATTCATTGCTGTACTTTGTAGATACAGAAATATACCTAATTTTCAACTCCAAAAATATATGTTAATATATAAACTACAAAAATAAAGGGGATGAATTTAAACAAGGTATTTTATGAATTCATCCCTTTTATTTCTGGATAAGATAACTTTAATATCATACGGAAGATTATGATCATCAATGGGACAAATGAAGATTTTATTTTTCATTTTCCACTGGACGTTAAGCAACCAACAATCAATCAATATTTTTCATTTTGAACCAGTTTGCAATTACTGTTAATTTCAGCATCATATATCAGTGATGTAATTTGCAAAAGATATAAAAATAAGAAGATGTGGTATGATTGCCAATGAGACAACTCTCCACCTGAGACCAAATGACACAGAAATTAACAACTATAGGTCACCGTATGGCCTTCAACAATGAGCAAAGCCCATAGTCAGCTATATGCTAAAGGACAATAATTAGGCCAAAAGTAGGTCAACTAGTACGGGAACCAAAGTGAAAAGCCTGTTCCAATTATTTCTAAACTATTGTATAGACATCATTTTATTTTTGGACTGTATGTTGACTTTTAGATGTATTTTGGTAATTGGTTTCATTTGTTTTCTGTCATAATGACATAATACACCATGTCTTCTTTTATAATAACCAATTTGATGATTGTAGTTAAGATTACTTTTAACAAGAATGCACTCATGTCATGCTAAGCATACCCCCACTCACAATTCAAAGTATTGGACATTAAGAACAAGGTATCTGGCAGATCTGTAAAGAACTTACAAATTACAACTCATGAAGTAGTACCTGGGAAAAGTGTGACCAAAATAATTGATGGACAGATGAACAGACAAGATGAATAAAATACAGCCCCTTATCCTAGAGTGGAGTTAAAATGTACCCAATAGATTTGCAACACATTTTGACATGCCAGGGCCTTTTATAGCTAACTACACATATTGGTTTTGCTCATTGTTGAAGGTTCTATGGTGTCCTTGTTTACGTCTTCATTACCTTTGAACTCTGGCAGATATTTATTTGTCTCTTGGAAATCATACCACATCTCCTAATTCATATATTATACACCATGTTATGATTTAAGTGATGACAGTGCGCAAATTTGACATTTGCATCAGGTTAGTTAAAACAGGGCTCTAGATATTTGAAAAAAAAACAAAATCTGTGTGATACTATAGATGTTGAAAACAGGATAAAAGATTATACAAAGGTCACCATTACATATGATCAACAGTATATCAGTGACCCACACAATTAAATCCTTACAAAAAGTGACACAATTGAATGTTTAAATAACTAGTAATGCATAAAATATCTAACTGATCCTTAATGTGATATATCAATACAACAATTTCAAATAATTTCAATTTAAACCCTTTACAAAAGATGTGAATACATCCATAAAATATAATATATAAAATCTACATGTAAAAATATCTTAATGGTATGCCATATATTGTATATTGTTTCTTAAATCTAAATTTATGAGTAGAAAAAATGAAGAAAATTTTGCATTTGTTGCAAAAATTTAAAGAATCTATTTACTAAGAGTAAGTGCATCTTTTCATGCTAATTCATAAAGTATAGTCTGAACTAAGAATACATACATGTTTAAAAGGACAATTCAGCGAAACAGTACTTTAAAACCATGAAATACCTCAACTTGAAATGGAATCCAGATGTAATTATTTATTAAAGTGCACATTTAATGCACTATTTGTTTATGAGAAATGATATAACAAATCTCTTTTATAATGTTGTAAATGTTTATCATGTTTATCCTGGATACAACTGTAATTTTAAATGACACCAAATCTATCTATAAGCATGATTACTGCAAAACTGTCTGATCCATAACTTAAAATGAAATCAATTTCACCAAAATAAATATTGTAAATATTCAGAATATGAAAAACATATTCAGTTTGTCACTTGAAATGAAACTAGTTTAACCAAACTTTATACTGCACAACTGTTCTGTCAACTTACGATAAAACTAGTTTACCAAAATTTAATTTGAAATGAACAGTTGTGTAGTATAAAGTTTGGTTAAACTGGTTTCATTTCAAGTGACAAACTAATTATAAGGTACATTGTACAAGTATATGAGTATTGCAAAACAGTCTGAACCTTCATCTCAGGCCTTATAAGAGAGACGACCTTTGAACTGAGGTAAAAATTGTTTAAGTCTACCCTTAAACAGGTAACTCTCAGTCAACCTAGTCTCATTGATGTATGGAAAAATTATTCTGTCTTTTTTTCTCAATAACTGCGACTATGGAGAAAAAAAAATAACAAAAGATTGATCCTCACTACAGCCTTACAAAGAAAGTTTATTGCCCACACAGAAGAGAACACTAAAAAAAACAGAAGTAAGGGAGGTGTCTGATTAATATAAAAATAATCGAGAAGGTGTCCTTGGGACATAGATGATGCCCCTGCTTGTATATAAGATTATTAGGGGGCATAACTTGAGAACGGTAAAAGTGGCGACACCCAAATTCGAACTTTATCTGTGTTTTGTGGTAATAGTCATGTCCTGTTTGAATTGTTTTACACTAGTTATTTTGGGGCCCTTTATAGCTTGCTGTTCGGTGTGAGCCAAGGCTCAGTGTTGAAGGCAGTACTTTGACCTATAATTGTTTACTTTTTACACATTGTGACTTAGATGGAAAGTTGTCTCATTGGCACTCATACCACATCTTCTTATTTATATTGTGTATAAGTTTCATAACATTTGGTTGAGGCAAACTAAAGTTGGAAAACGGAAACCAATTTTGGGAAGTACATACGGATGGACGGACAAGGGAAACACTTCATGCCCCCTCTGGTGACGGCTGGGGCATAAAAAAGAATATCTCCAGATATAATTGAGTTGTATTATAGTTACCTATTCTTCTCTCTCCATCCCTGAAGAAACATGTTTCTTCTTGTGGCACCGGTGTCTTAGCTTTTGCAGACATCTCAATCCCTCCTTCTGAGCTCTAAAGAATAAAAACATAATATTGTAAAAATAGTGAAAACAAATTAGGTGTATCAAAAATAAATATTCCTGCCTGCACTTGTTATTCATAATAATACAACAAACAGGAAACACCAAGCCAATAAACTGAAAATAAATTACACAATGTAACTAACATAGAGCAAGAACGATTCCTTACTTAATGAGAAAAATGTTATCAAATTTTTACATTCCAGTATTGCATTCAAAGGACATGCATCTATTTAGCAATCTAATTAAAATTAAATGTCCGCCCTTGCTCATTTCTCTTGTACTTTGTCGCTGCATGAGCAAACAAATTTTTTATTTATATGTTAAACAAAAGGCAAAAGGTGCCAAACTTTATCTATCTTAATGATTTTTTTTTAATTTTTGCTAGATATTTGTTCAAAATGGTCATCTAGAATACCTCAAAGAAAAGAAGATGCGTATGATACAAAAGCACATGAAACGGTTCATATTGAAATAAATTTTAAAAATGTATTAGAAAACAGGTGTATAGTCTGCCCTTAATAGAACATTTAAGGATGCACGTTTGGTCAGTTTAAATGTTAATTGTCTGACCACTTGGAGTAATGTATTAGTATACCCACAGTTGGAACTGTGCATGTATTGTTAAAAGCTAGTCTGAGACCAGATAGCATGTTAAGGCTGATTTTGGACCCTGGAACATAGGGTCAAATATATTTATTTTCACATTACTTGTGGAACCTTCAGACAATGTTAATTCTGAAAGAAGCATAAGAACTTCGTATCTGATGACTGCTTACACACTGACCTTATTTTCAAAGAATTAATTCATGTCAATAATAATTAATAATAAAGGTATTCTAATTGCACCTACCAGCAGTTTGGTCTTCATCATTTTTTAGAATCAGATAAATTTCAAGTCCATTATTGTACTATATAACAATTGGTTGATATAACAAATATCAATACACAGTTTATGTTGACAAATTCCCACAGTACATAATTTTCTCTAACTATCTCTATACTGTCATTTCAAAAGCCTATTGTTAAAAGACCTTTGAAGCATGACTTGAAGTTTTTAACTGAATCCATATTTAAATAATAAATAAACAACAAACACTTGATTGGGTTTATAAGTTTAAATCTCTAATCTCAATTTCAGAAATGCACTTTCATGTAAAAAATAAACTGTAAATAATAAACTATATTACATTGATCTCCCTAGAGTTTATTTGTTTAAAAAAACCAAGACTGAAAATTGAAAACCAAATCTATGGTACTGTATTTTAAATGAGCAATTAAAGGGACAATAGCTACGAGATATAGAAAAAAAATAAAACATGATTTTTTTTTTGTTCAATCATTAATGAAAGTGAAATAGTGATATAATTATTCGCTTTTAGCAGCCAGTTTGGTTCAGTTTTGTCAAAAAAGCAAAGAAACATCGCTAATGAATTATTCACTTGCAAGGGAATAATTCAACCTCATTAAATCCGTATTCATGTGAACTACAGTTGAACCCCTTAGCTAGAGATGGGTTACGCATGAACAAGGCGTGCTCAGCTATTAAAAAGAAAAGAATGTCAACATTGGAAGTGAAACAAGGGTAAACCATTTGGTTTACTGATTCGATCTTCAAAAACTCATTGTTATACAGTTAAAACCATTATTAGCATATTTGTTTAACCTATAATATGAAATCAAACAGACCTAGAAAAATCAAATTGCACGAGTTCTCTATCTATTTATATCTATGTTCATGTTTATATCGGGTTATATGACCGTGGGCAGTCTTCGAGGTTACCTTGATGGTTAATTAGATGACGTCTAGACTAAAATACACACTAAATGCTGATACATATTATCGAGTCAGTGCATCGTAAATTGTTTACTTTAGACTTTTTATTATTTGGATATACGTTTTAGTATGTTATAAATCAAATATGAGAATTTCGATGAGTCAAATCGGTGAACATGAATTTGACAGCTAATGCCCCTTTAAAGGAGCCTGTAAATCAGTGATTGTCGTTTGTTGCTGTATATCATATTTTTGGGTGGTTTTTTTTTTACATAAATCAGGCTGTTTGTTTTCTCATTTGAATTTTGTTATGTCATGGGCTTTTATAGCATGCTAAATGGTATAGATTTTGCTCATTGTTGAAAGCTGCAGGGTGACCTAGAGTGCTACTAGCAGGTACATCATTTGGTCTCTGGTGGATAGTTGTCTCATTGGCAGTCATTGATAAAGTACTTATTTAATTTTACTTCATTAGGTAATATAAACAGCAGTACATGTATATACAAATATCAATATATGCAAAAGAATTGAGTAAATCTCCAATGAAATGAGCTAAAAGTGCAGTTAAAAAACAAAATCTCAAGTACTTTGAAAGAATATTTTTGCATCTTATAGATCTAATCTCAGCTATGGGGACATCAGAGGCTGAGTGGTCTAAGTAATTCATCTACAGCAATCACTAGCCTGTTAACACTGAGGTTGTGAGTCTGAACAGCTATAAGATCATGGTTCTCTACTGTAAAGCACTCCAGCTTCCTCCACAAATAAAACCTAACTAGCACAATATAGCCAAAGAGTGCTGAAAGAGGTTTGTTTTAATACAAATCCAGTTAAAAACTGATAGGCAGATAAAACAAAACTGAAAATTCTTTTATCATATAAAAATTTATCATCAATACATTTTTATTTTGAAAATGTAAATTGCAAACATTTTTCCGTTAATGTGACAAAATCATCCCTGGACTTTTAAATAAGAAGATGGTACAGTATAACATTTTCTAGTGTTTAAATAATACATTGTGAACAGTACATTTGTTACTTAACAGAAGATTTCTGGAAGACTGAATGTTAAAGTCTAAATAATTACAGTACACATTCAGTGGAGTGTAAACTTTATTTCAACAATGTTTTCAATTAAACATGCCCATAAGCATCCACATAAAGAGCTTAAAAGATACCCCATTTTCTAACACATTCAACAGATATAAATGGGATAACTATGATGTAATCTATAAATAGATAATCTGATAAACGTAATGATAATAAAAGATATAACCTCTCAGCTATTTATCCATCTAATTCAGTTTAATTTACCAATTCAGGTTGTATACACTAGCTGTTGGTATTTGGATACCAAATAAAAATATTTTGACCAGAAGCTGTAGTATTAGCTATTAGTGGATTACTCTTTACAAAACAAACTTAAGAGCCTATGATACAGTTACAGGGGGGAAATGATGTCAATAATATAAAATGTTATTTTTCGCAACGTCTCAAACTGTGACATATTGGGAAAAGATGCATTTTTCAACTCATTTTAATCATTCGCTTGAAAACGGGTTCATCGGTCCCTCTTTTTTAAAAATGATATTTGGCTTGATTATGTATTTAGATTATTTGCACCAATTTTTATGAACAAATCATGAATGAATTTTTTTAAATTAGACAAATATACAGCAAAAAATGCTGATTCAATCATTATAAACAACATATCTCCTTATTTTATATCAGGTAAAGTTTTTAACATTTTAACTTTTTTGGCCTTCAAAAGATTTTGAGCATACATAATGAAAGATATTTTAGAAATGTGTTATTATGCCCACTGATATATCAGCATCATACAACGTTGTTTTACTTCTATTGTGTTGGATGGTACAGCTACTGATTGAATATAAATATATAGGGGTACCATCCACCTAGTAGCCCCATTGACTATAATCTGTACCGAGGCATACCTGAACAATATTAGGTAGTCCTTTAAACTATTTGTACCAATTTGTATTAGCAGTTCAATTTAATGCTTCAGTGCTGGCTTTGCATCATAAATTAAAATATAATTTTTTTTACATCTTACAACAATGGCTGTCTGAATCAAATCTTTAATCTCTCAAATAATGACCAACCAACAAATGGTATTGTCAAACTCCATCTCAGAACTAATATCCACTTAAACTTTCATTTTTGCTACAAAAAGTAATCAGCTAAAGAAATAAGATTAGTTATAATACTTATAGATCCATTCTACATCTCAATAAGCCTTAAATTGAAGGAATAATATTTACTTTTCTTTTCCGATTACCAATCATCAAATATTAAACAAGAGTTTCATCAATCTGTGATATTGCCTAGACTAATACTCTAGGTTCTAGTTTGTACAATAAATGATAAATGAAGCTTCAGGTTTAATCAATATAAAATACAATGGTTTGAATTCTAATAACTATATTGCCTAAAATTCTTTCTATGGATATGTTGCACTTTTATTTCTGCAAATATACAAAGCAATTATAATACTTCATATTGGATATTCTCTAGTTGCTGTAAGTGTAATTAGAACTCGATAATATTGTAAAACCTTTCTAGATAAACGGGATCTAGTTTTGCATTCAAAATAGATTCTAAACTACATGAATTTGACCTGATTTGGCAAGACTTAACTACTGATTTTCTGGGAATTTATTAAAGAATAGCTTAATGCAGCATTGCTGATTTCTAATCATCATAAATGAAATATTTGCCACTGGACATTAAGCAAACAGCAATCAATCAATTTAATCTTATGATCCAATCAATATCACTTTATTAACGTGACTCAACCTTACCTGAAATATAACATTTTTATTTACATAGCCAAATAAAGTTAAAGGTTTGAAAACGAAATTGTGAGGAAAAATTACTTTAAATCGGTCTTCTGATAGAGTTTTCAAATTATAGGTCTTTCAAGATGGGTTCAATTGGAATGACTTAAATTCAAAATATCTATTTGTTTTCAAAAAAAACCAGCCATAATTGTTTTATGCAGGTTCCTTGCAATTTGAGTATAAATGCAGTGAGAGCATTCAAGTACCAATCCATACATAAGCCAATCGTCAAACTATTACACGCGAAATTCCTGGGTTTGATTTTAGGGCTGGGCTACTAAAAATAAGAATAAGAGGAACTTATTTGACACAAAATTGGCGATACTTTTACCTTTTTTGACATTTTATTTCTTT